AGAGCGTCACCCGTGAGGGATCCTACAGCCAGACTGATGCAGAACTGGATGCACATCTGAAAGACTTGCGTGCACCTGGAGAACAGCAGCACCACGATCCCAAACATGGCCATCAGACAGACGATAATGTTGGCGAGAGTGGCATATCCATATCCTGGGCACAAAGGGCTTATTTAGTGATTGTATAAAGAGATCACTATATCACAGGTATGCTGTCGTTCAGACTGGTTTTTGTAAACAGCTACAGGTCATTCAGACGGAATGCCAGCTTTGTTCTTCTCCAGGAAGAGATGGTAACTAAAATAATCAGTCACAGTGTTTGGGAATTTTTCTAGATCTCCTTGTTCTGCTGAGGCCAGCAGATTGATCAATGACCAGCATAGACCAATAATTACCTTGCACAGACGTCTTTGTTCCCTTTGTTCAAGTGAAACCATATTTAATATACATTTTTTCTGTTTTAAGGTTTTGAGTAAATATTTCATGTTCATTCACTTTCTGTAATTTTGAATATTTTACATAAACATATACACACAAAACAACAGTACTAATGTATATTGATGTTTGTCACTCTCATCAAATTAAAATGGCTTTACATCATTAAAAAATACATACTGCAGTTCATAACATTTTCCATCAGGTCAACTACTGCCATAGCAGAGAAACGGATTGAAAAAATCTTGTTGTGCTAATTACTGTAGTTCAAGTTATATATGTTTATAGCAGCTACCAATTGAATGGCACAGACATTTGCAGATTGCACCTTTTGGTTTGTTACTGCTCATTAGTTTAGACTATGTTTCTGGACTTTGTCAATATTCACAAGTCTAGCTATGCTATGCAACTCGGACTAATTGTTGTCTGATGGTGTAAACAGAGGTCACTCACTCTCAGCGGTGCTCAGAGATTCAGGGGTCATGTGGGTGAAAGTGATCTCAGAACAGCCTCCACTGAGGATCTGCTGAATCAGAGCAGGACTGAGCTGTGTGAACTGATCTCTGGTCAGCAATGAAGAGTTCAGCTGGTAGATCCTCAGAAGGTCTTCAGCACTAAAACACATCTGCAGGCAAAGCAACCAGAAACAACCTGAGACATGCATATATTAACATAATTTAAACATTGCATATATTAAAATATTTTTTTTTGTCTTCAGTCACTTTCATTGCTCTGACAAGCATGCATGCATGCATTAGTGTGCACTATTATTAGTTGCATGAATGTCAAATGACAGGCTTTAGTAAGGGTATTGGGAACTCTACATCATGATTAAAAATAAACATATGTACTGCTTAATTTCACTCTACGGACAGCTTGCATGGTCTCAGATTGTCACAACATCCATCAAGACATCTAAACATCACTTATTAATGTTGATATGTGATGTACAAGCCTCAAAATAATTTATTGCCCAGCTGAATGATTGTCCACTTCATCAAACTCCATATGATTTGATTTCTGCAGCATGCATTGATTTCTCATGATGCCCCGAGCAAACATTGCTGTATCTTACCGTGTCCCAGCTGCTGTTGTTATGGTGATCGTCCTGATGACTTTGTATGCGGGTTGGTCCACTGCGGTGGGATTCATCATCAATGTGGGCATCATCATGGTCGTGTTCATCTCTGCCCAGGTTTAGCGTCTTCAGAAGCTCTTCAAAATCTGAGTAACAATGTGATCATTAAAAATAGAATACAAACGTTCAGCTTTAAACCGAATACTGTTCTTAAATGCTTAAAAGCACTTCAGGAAATCTACAGAACATAAACAAGTATTAAAAACATAAAGCTGCAGCCAGAAGAACCTTTTTAAGTTGCATATTAACTGGTTGTGCTAGAAAAGCCAAGGTTATGCATTCGATTCCCAGTCCAGATGCATGAACTGATAAAAGTTTTACTCTGAATGCTTAGAATAAAGCATCTGCCAAATGCATAAATATATTATAAATAAAGAACAAAGATGCCTACACTGAAAAAATGATTTTCTTACTTAAATTCACTTAAATTATTTACTTAAGAAGCAAACTGACTTAAGATTAAGTGCTGTTTCCTGAACAATTTATCAAAAGTAAGCGAGTTTGTGCATAAAACAAGAAAAAATATCTGTCAGTGTGGTCAGAAAAATAAACCTACTTCAAATAAAAATCAATGTTATTTTTCTTATCAGATATTGTTCTTGTTTTAAGATTAAACTCACTTAATTTTGATATTCTTTCAGAAAACAAGACCTGATTGACTTAAGCCAGTTTCCATTTAAATGTATTTCGATTTAAGTATGTTTAGATATTTGTAATGGAAAACTAGACAAAAATACTAAATAAGAAAATATATATTTTTTAGAATATTTAAAATCTAAAACTATAAAAAAAAAGGTCACAAATTTTAACTTTAACTGAAATAAAATATAAAAAACTACAAATATAAAAATAAAAACTAATTCAAAATATTAATAAAAACTATAATATTATATAAATGATACTAAAATAACACTGGACCTGAGTATTAAAAATTCCTTTGGTAACACTTTACAATAAGGTTCATAAGTTGACATTAGTTAACTACTTTAATTAACATGAACTAAGCATGAACAATACTTTTACAGCATTTATTAATCTTAGTTAATGTTAATTTCAACATTTACTAAAGCATTATTAAAATCAAAGGTTGTGCTTGTTAACATTAGTTAATGCACTGCGAATTAACATGAACTAACAAATAAACGACTTTATTTTCATGAACTAACATTAACAAAGATTAATAAATACTGTAATAAATGTATTGTTCATGTTAGTTAATACATTAACTAACATTAACTAATGGAACCTTATTGTAAAGTGTTACCATTACTTTCATTGGTGTGACATTATTTATTCAGGTTGATTCTGTCACATTAAAACACATTTTTACTTGAATATTTTACTAAAATAAAACCAAATTCAACAACATGAAATGCATTTAAGGTTAATGTAACATCATCAGGATTATCAAACAGTCATACCATGAAGTGTAAGATTATCAGAGGCAAAATGGCTGAAGATGTAATCCAGAAAGAACTCTTGCTCAGGAAGTGATCTCATACAGTCTCCACGCAAAGCATGATAGAGGATATTTGCAAAAACAGCATCCAGCTCTAAGTGATGATCACCGCTCTCTTCCAGGATGTCTTTTAGTGAAAGACAGGTCTGAACATGTGGACAAACAAATGACAGATGTGTCTTAATGACCATGTTACTTATACATAGAATGATTAGCACTTTTAGTTTAACCCTACATTGCGGTTACTGACCTCATGTGTGACTGGCTGATAGTATTTTTCCATCTCATCAAACAGCTGCTCCAAACCCTCATATTCTGTGGCACTGATCTCATTATGACTGCTGGTGGTGTTGTCATGGCCTAAGATCATTTGGATGAAGTGATGGGTCTCCTCAACCCAGCGGCCCTCCTGTACGGCCCCGCAGGTCTCTAGCGGAGCGCTCAGGAACAGACAGCATCCAGGGGCCATCGTGAAGAAATCCTCCATCTGTAGCCCCTGTGAGCTGCTGTAATTACTCAACAACTGGTGCAGATGTTCAACAGACAGGCACTGTATACAGGAGAGAAAGAGAGCGATTTCCAGATTTCTGTGTATGAAATATGAAGGAGTCTAATATATCTTAAGTTAAGCAAAACTGGAACACATTTGCAGTTAAAGCTTGTGTGCTTTCAAAAATTTCAAAAATGTGAAACATACTTCTTGTGATGAAGAAGTCATGAGATGTTACATAAAATGGGTAGAGACATCAAAAATGTGAAACATACTTCTTGTGATGAAGAAGTCATGAGATGTTACATAAAATGTGCTTAGCTGGTAGAGACAAATCTTAATGATTCTTAAAAAGGTTTAATTTTCTTTAAAAAATAAATAAATAAATAAAAACAATTTCTTAACAAAAACTATTTTTATTTTCTGAGGTAAAATATGAGCTGGACATGTTCTTGGCACAATGCATGAGATATTCTCTTCATAACAGAACTATAATATAATGTCTAATGTCAATTTTTCATTTTTTATTGACAAAAACATGTAGGCACTACCTGGAGACTGTAAAGAAAATCACAAATCACATTAAAAGTCTGAAATTCAGGAAAAATAAATGTTGGAATAAGAAGTTTGGAAAAATCTTTTAGTATTTTTTTTTTTATGTATTATTTGTTTTGTTTTCAACATTTTTATTGTTATTAATATTTGGCAAACTTTTGTCCAGAATCAGTATAATGCAAACAACATGCCAACATTCAGGAGGCCATTTTTATTTCTACGTGACAAACAAAAAAAAAAAAAGGCACTGCCTGGAGACTGTAAAAAAAGAAAGAAAAATCACATTAAAAGTCTGAAATTCAGGAAAATTAAATGTTGGTATTAGAACTTTGGAAAAATCTTTTAGAATTTGTTTAATGTATTATTTTTAATTTTTGTTTTCAAAATTGTAATTAATAATATTTTGCGAACTTTTGTCCAATATCAGTATAATGCAAACAACAACATTCAGGAGGCCATTGTTTATTTCTATGTGACAACAAAATCAGTAGACCCTCGCTGCTGTATGTCATTAAAACAATTTTTTCTTCTTTTTTATTAACAGGTCTTAAATACATATATATATATATATATATATATATGTGTGTGTGTGTGTGTGTGTGTGTGTGTGTGTGTGTGTGTGACTCATTTAAAAAAAATTATTACAAATTAAACTTACACCTGTTTAACCATCATTGACCTGTAGCTATACGATTCTCTCAGGTGGACCTCGATTTACCCAAACCACGTTCAACAAATCCGTCTTACCTTTCCACACGACACACCGGAGCACTGCACGCGGTTCTGCAGCCGTTCAAACACCGAGAGAAGCGCATCCTCCGTGAGGAACTCTTCACCTGGAGACACTAAATCCACAATTCTCGCGTAAATGTCCTTTTTACCACCACGCGCGCCTGTAAACAGACTGAGGCAGGTCACACAGAGAAATAAAACTCCTCCAGTCTCCATGGTGTGTGTGTGTTTTGTCCTTATTCTTATTGCGGCGACAGACTGTCCTCACACACTCTCACACAGCAGCTTCAGAGCTCCTCACACAAGTGATCGTGTACCTGTTCAGGTAGAAGCTCCTGTTGTCCTCCACACTGAACGCTGATTGGTCAACAGAAACTCGTCCGAGGGCTTCGAGTTATTGAAACAATATTTAATGTTTCTTTGTCGCAGTTTGTTACCTACGTTTAACAGATCACCAGCAAAAGTAGGACAGAGGGATTTTAAGTTTTATAGCAAATATGTTTGTTTTAAATGCTTAAAAATACCTTTAGATCGACGTTCTTCTATTAAAATACAAGTTATATAAACATAAAAAGACTTTATCACTTGCTGGAATATTTTTAATATGTATGTATGTCGTCCTCATATTTAAAATGTACAATTATTGCATGTTTCATTTCAAAAGGATTTGTTCAACGTCTAATGTATATACCGCCCCCTGTAGGCTGTGGAAGTATCTGACAGTGAACTGAGATTACGAACAGAATGCAGAATTATATAATTCGAAGTAGAAATAAAATGGAATGAAAAGGCCATATTTTGATCTGGTTGGACGTTTATTTTGTGTGCTTTATAATATCCGTTCAAAATCATGTAGGGTATAATAAAACAGATCCAAATATGCTAGTGTCCCCACTCACCAACTAAATATTTCTATTATATTAATTATTAAATATGTTCGTATGTTTAAAGTAGAGAAACTAGTGTATTTACTTGAAATGTAATAATTTAAAGTTCATAAAGTAAATTACATAGAGAAAACAAATGTTTAGAAAAATGATATAAACATTACATATTATGGAGATGCCACAACATACTGCATCATGTTCTGCAATATGCCACAATCCACTGGCACATGAAAACCAAAAATTGTCTGATTTTCAAAAATGACCTCAGAACCATCATTAATTATGCTTTGTTAGCAATTAATAAAATTAATAAGCAATTAGTTTTTGTTTTATTAATATCAGTTTATTTATTTTTAATTTATGTATTTTTTACTTTTTATTCATTATTATCTATTATTATGTCTATCTACTATTTATCTATTATTTACAGAATAATACCACCAACATTGGAGATTTTGCCCCAGAACCTGTTGTCATCATTGTAGGGGCTGGTTTGGGCTCCTCACTATCAGCGTTTCTTGGGCGAGATGGATGCAAGGTCACCTTTGGCCTTTTCACCACGGTAAGGCCAAAGTAAGGTCAACATATACGCATATGTTGACCTTACTTTGGCCTTACCGTGGTGAAAAGGCATGTTTTTGCAAGTATTTTTAATAACTAACATACTTGATGTTTGTTCAAATAATGTCTTCAGCATCATTTATAATTGTGAAAATTAGCTGAGAATTTAACATTGATAGTTGTAAGCTGGCTCAGAGGAAGACAGGAATTGTGATGTCAAAAGTATCGTATGTTAACCAGTGATAAACTTGGGTGGCTTCAAAAGCATAACTTAAAGAATAAGCAAAAAAAAAACAAAAAAAAAACTAATGGAAAACTTAGCACTGATTTTTGTATTTTGAATTTAAATGTAGCACTATTTATTGCATTGGTTTGCCTCCACAGAACTCTCCTCAGTACAAACCCATCTAGTGTGTGCTGAGCTAGATCTGAGCTGCCATGGACTGATTCTGATCTACTGACATATGTGTTCTGGTGGACATACAGGGACGTCTGCCTAAACACCTGAGCCAATACATGACTGAGAAGATCCGTCCACAACTGCCAGGTCAGAAGATACCACTGACAAGAAGAACTTATTTTATAGAGTTCACCCAAAAAATAAAATTCTGTCATCATTTACTTACCCTCAAGTTGTTCCAAACCTGTATGACTTTCTTGAACAAAAAAGAGTATATTTTGAAGAATGTGGGTAACCAAACAGTTTCTGGTTCCCATTGACTTTTATTGTATTTTTATTTTTCTCCTACAGTATGGAAGTCAATGGGGACTAGGAACTGTTTGTGAAAGTGTCTTCTTTTCTGCTCAACAGAACTCATACAGGATTGGGATACAGGATCCCTTTATGTGTGCTTATATTAAAATGATCAACCAGATGTTTCATAAAACTAAGGTTTCAATCCATATACATGAGCTGATATAATGTCATCAGATTAATATGGATTATACAAATTGTATTTTTTTTAGCAAATTTACTTTGGTTTGTTGTGCCTGATAGATCACTTAAAGAAGCCGTTTTTGTTGGCTGTACAAAATAATCATCAGAAATTCATGCCGGCAAGTTTCCTGCCCTCATCACCTGTCAATAAACCACGTAACTGCTCAATATAGAAACAAGATGTTAGAGTTGCAGCAGTGGCAGTTTCTTGTATTATAGTACATAGCTTTTATTACAAAGATGCTTTATTATTGGTGTTAGCCATTTAAACAAGTGCTGTAATGTTTTATGTCATAGACTTAGATAAAGTGTTTCAACCAAATTATATTAAAATAGATCTAACTTGTCCTCTATGCCAGGATTTGGAGGAGTCTGCTTCAGAATATTCCGGATCTCAGTGCCAACACGGACTTGTTGCAGGTTAAAAGCCTAGGGTTTTATTCAAATGAACAGAATTAATACATATTTAAACAAATTTTAATTTCAAAAACGAAGATGTGCTCCAGTGCACTTCTATTGGAGTCAGTGATGAAATGTTTTGTAATCAGAATATGTGAAAACGTTATTATTTTACCCCTTCCATGGCCTAAAAAGAAATTCCACTGGGAGAGGAAGGCGTCTCGTTCATTTGTGGGAGATGTTCTCACAAAGGCGCTGCATGAATTGTTTGCTTCACAAGAGAGTAAGTATCTGCTTCTTGCTTTTGGAGTTAAAGGGATAGTTCACCTTCAGTTGCTGGTCCCCATTGACTTGCATAGTGTTTTTTTTCCCCCATACGATGGAAGTCACTGGGGACCAGCTACTGAAGGTGAACTATGACAAGGTCATATTTTCAACGTGTTGTATTAAAAGGTGATTGGGAAAACTTCCACTAGAGGGAACTCTTTACCACAAGCCAAATGTACATCTTCAGAGACCGGCCTCTTTTGTAATTGACCGCTGTACACTGAATAGAACCATTAAAGCCATAAACACTTGCTGATTATGTTAATATCGCCAGACAGTTAAAGACCATGTTCTTGCAGAATCAATATTAGATCTTTGGAGAGCCTGCATGTGCAATTTTCATTTGGGAGGGGAGTGTGCCTCTGGACCAGTTGGACTATTTTCTGTGTAGGTTCAGATTTCTTTACAATCAGACATGTAGTTCTAAATGTACATAACTATTGTGTGCATACTATTTCTAACATCTGTGTCAATCATCATCAGGCTGAACCCCTGCCCCATGACACTGAGTGGTCACTTCTTTAGCGTTGCATTGTACGCGGTGTACTTGAAAGTCAAGGCAGAGGTAAGACAGGACAAAGCAAACAGCAGATTATGGTTTTGTGGCTTTGTCATGGTAACAAATACAGATCAAATACAGAACTAAACATTTTGTGAAAACGGGTCTCTTCAACTATGACCTGTGTGCTGACAAAGGAGTTTGGCTCAATTATGCCAACATTCAGAGAGAACTTAATGTGAAAATGAATATACAATCAATCTTTGAGGGAAAAAAAACAAATTCAGTTCCAGTGGTGGCATGTTTAGCATACTGGTTTTGGCCTATGTAGGAAATCATTGTTTATCCGGTTTTCAAAGTTCTTCAAGATTAAAGGAATAGTCCATTTTTATGAAAATTGACTCACCCTCAACGATCCAAGACATAGATGAGTTTGTTTCTTCATCTGAACAGATTTGGAGAAATGTAGCATTACATCACTTGCTCACCAATGGATCCTCTGCAGTGAATGGGTGCCGTCAGAATGAGAGTCCAAACAGCTGATGAAACATCACAATAATCCACACCACTCCAGTCCATCAATTCACGTCTTGTGAAGTAAAAAGCTGCATGTTTGTAAGAAACAAATCCATCATGAACACATTTTAACTTTAAACCTTCACTTCCATAATCAAACTCTTCCTCCAATGAAAATGTTCATCCCCTGTTGTCCTCTCACGTCAAAAAATGGATTTGTTTCTTACAAACAACTTTATTTTTTGTGTGAATAATTCCTTTTAAAGCAGCACTATGTAACTTTTGGCGCTCTAGCGGTTAATAAACAGAACTGCACACATCCCGCGGAAGAACATTTCAACCGGAGCTACTTCTCTAAGTTTATGTCTATGGCGATTCACGCAGGTATGTGTTACTCCGCAGCGGTGACGACCCGACCAGGCTACAATAGTCCAAATATAAGTACTTATTATAAGTGTACCGTAGTGATTAGTAGTGATAAGACAAAAACGCGGTTTGGAAGATGAATTCATGATGTACTCGCTCATTATATACATTTTGCACATTTTGAACACAGAAAAAGTTACATAGTGCTGCTTTAATTAAGGTGTGGTAACATTAGTGGAATTTCAACGAAATTTCGTGGGGAAAAAAAAGTTACTTGTCCATAATCAATACAGCGATGCATGAAGCACTACTCACACAGAAGTCACTTTCAAACCAAGCAGCTTTCTATTGGTCAATGCGATGAGTTCGCATGGATTCCTAATAAAAATGGAAATGTTACCATATTTAAAGGCGAAATTTTGACAAAATTGTGCGGGCAAAAGTGTACCGCAGTAAAGATAGTTTGCGGTTTGATATTCAAATTTCTTTTGACTATAAATACGCAGCGCGCTGTCATAGACACGCAAATAATACCGAATATCATTCTCCATGATTTGTGAATTCAGGTGATGACCATAACTGCACTGTGAACGTTTTCACAAATCTAAATAACGATGGAAAGGAATCAGGGAAGGGGTTAACTGACCAACATTGTCCTGTGAAACTTTTGCAAATCAGAATATTGAAGCCAATTACTCAAGGAAAGGTACAACAACCAAAACTTTATTGTCAAACAAAGTGTACAATTGTGTGTATGTGCTCATTTACCTAATGAATTGGAAACCGTTATTCACAGGAACAGCACGGAATGACATTATTATAGGCTACAAAAAACGGGGGGCAGAG